TTTCACGGAAGAAAGTACTCTGAATTTAGTTTCAAATACAATAAGCAGAAGTCAATTTAAATTTTTCTACACCACGATATGATAGATTTTCCAAGACTACTCAGATTCTCCTGCGAGAAAAATTTCGGCAGCACTTCCTTTGTGTTTACGAATTTTTCCAGCCATTTCAAGGCTACACTTTCACCACAAGATAGGCCCAATCAAGTTCAAAAAATATAGGATATATAGAATACTTATTTTAACCACAAAACTAGCTATAACCAACATATATCTAAGTTGGAAATTAACCAAACCCTAACAACAACTTCACCAAACCTAGAAAAATCATGAAATTACCAAAAACATGCTTTCTTCAACTTCAATCATAACATATCTTGCATAAATCTAAAAAAACAAGTAAAAAAAGATGTTTTCTAGAAATTTTACCTCAAAACTCCAAGATAACAGGCAACTCAAGAGCTTTCTTCCCTAAGTGACTCTCTAAAAGCTTCCCTCCAAGCCTAGCTTAAGATTAATCGGTATAGATTTGGATTGGTGTTTGAATCTCTCATTGATTGAGCATGAAATCAAGGCTAGAAAATGGAAGTTTTTCTCTCTTTTCTGGTCTCTTAAGTTCGGCCAAAATGAGGGGAAAGATGATGGAATTTTGATAATGTGAGAACCCGAGAAAATTATATGTATGCCCTGAAATTTATTTCATTTTATTTACCTTGATATTAGAAACATTATATATAACAAATAATTGGTTAAATTAAATGTCTAATTGAAATTCTATAAAATTGAGAATTTAGAAATATCCTAGAATGGTGGAAAAATTTCTTATAGGGATATACAAATTAGAATAAATAAAGTTAGAAGTCAATGCATGAAATAATAAACTACGGGCCTTAGTAAGCAAATAAGCTAAAAGGAAACGACCAATTTAACCTTAAAGGTTGGACAATTAACCATGCAACCAAGAGAGGAATTGAGCTTCTAGACATCCGAAAGAAACTTAGGCAAATCACTTCAAAACTCTTGGGCGGTGATTGAGAGCAAGCTACAGAGAAATACACAGCCAATAATTTGCTAAGGCAAGCAGTGGAAGTGAGGAAACAAATAGAAAGTGGCTGGCTAAGTTGGTCAGCCACCGAGTAAAGGAGCCTCGAAGTGTCCAGCACCGAATGAAGAATTAGAAGCCGAGTGAAGAAAGCTGTGGAATGTCTGATAATAGCAACAAAACTGAGTGGTGAGGCCTTGAAATTTCTGTCACCGACTGTATTTAGAGTACCAACCGAGAGAGTGAGGGAGAGAACTCTGCATCTTTTCTTCCTTAGACAGCAACAACCGAGAAACAAAACAGAGCAACCGGATAACTTTCCCATTTCTACATTCTTTAGCCGATCAAAACTGAGAGCTAAAGTGAAGGTTAGGAAGAGAAACTTGCTCGTTCCATCACTGATTAGCTCCAGCCGAGAGGAAGAGTCAAAGTTGCTGCAATTTTAGGAGGAACCGGAACTTAAAACAATCTGCCTCTGGTGAAACTTAACGGAGAAGGTAAGAAACTTCAACAATCTTGTGCTACTTATCTGGTATAACTGAAAGTAGTGGCTGCATGTTGGTTTTTAGCCAGGAATAATAAGATTTAGCTGAAGGGAATTCTGATAAGGAAGAAAAATGGGAGCTGGACTGAAGTTGAGGAACCGAGAGCTTGCATGGTTGATTTGCAGCCTGTGATTACTGTAAAATGGAAAACTATGTTGGGTAATGCATGTAACATGTTAGCTTTATGTGTTAAGGGGATTTTAGTTGAAGAAACTTGAGGAAAGTTCGAAATTTTGGGGTTGAAACCGTAGGAAGAAACCTGCTGGAAATTTTTCCAGGTTAACCGAGAGAAAGAAAAGAAAAGGTTTCTAGCTGTCCACATGGATTTGTGGCCTCGAAACTCTATGTTAAACTGTAATATATATCATATAATGGCTTGGTTTGAACATGCATGAAAGATTTGAACATAAATTGAAGAGATTATTGGAGAAAATTGTGTCAACGTGACTGCTACCAGAATTTTGGAACATGGCCGAGGGGGGGAAATCAGCATCTGAACCAGCGTTGCTTTTCAATTTCCCTTGGCTGTAAACTTTAGATCCCTGCTGAAAGTACCCTGTAGTTTGATAACCAATCCTTGCATGTTGAACTTAACGAAAGAAAACTGAAGGAATCTGTGTTTAAGAGCTGAGTGGCTGTTAAAATCTTTCCAGCATGGCCGAGAGAAGGAGTTGAGCATCTGATCAGTTTTTCCTTCGAAGTTTAGCTGCAATTTTTATACTTGTTGTTGAAGATTACCTTGTAAGCTTGTTCATTATATATTTGCATGTTGAGTTGAAGTTAAAACTGAAGAAAGAACCGAATCTTTAACTGTCTTATGGCTGAAGGTTTACTTAGCTAATGACAGAATTAGTTGTGGCTTTTGGGTTGAATAATCCGTTGAAACTAGATGCTAATTGCTTTGGTATATGCTGGAATGAATGTAACTTAAGTATATAGAGATTTAAGCAAGTGAAAGAATAGAGTTTTTGCTTAAAGGCTTGAAATAACATTACTGGAAATTTGTGATTTGTCTGTCTAGTTGGGGCATGAAAGTGAAAGGAAAGACTTGAGAAAACAAAAAATGTTGGACCGTTACACTGCTAGAAAATTTAGTTGGGGAATGCTACAGCTGATAACAGCTTTTGTATGTGATTTTGGCCGAATAACATGCTGAAATTATGAGTTATTCACCTTAGTTCATGTTGAACAGAATGTATACCAAGTGACTAATATTTGAGTAAGTGAAAGATGGAATTTGTTGAAGATTTAGAAACATTTGATCTAAAATTCTTGCTTTGGCTGACCGAATGTGTGAAGAGATGAAGCTCTCATGAAACTTTTGAAAATTTATGTTGAATGGTTGTGAATTTATATGGAGCATCTTATAGTATCTTGAAACTATTTTATGAGTATTTTAAAGAACTTAAAACTGAAAAATTAGTAAAATTTAAACGAGATTTAAACTATTGGCAACTTGGAATCTAGTTTAATCCAAAAAGAAAAGAATGAAAAGTCAATTTGCCTTAATCTTAGAATATTGGATAGAAAATGGTTTAATCTTAGGTTAAACGTTTTATAAGACTATAAACTTGGAATATGCATATTTCTTGGTTTAAAATGATGAAGTCAATAAGTCGAAATGAAATATAGAATAAATATTGAATCTCTTATATTTTATATTTTAAAGTCAAACTTGACTTTAATCGATCAAATAATATGATAATAAATAATAAGTGAACATCTACAAATTATATATTTACTTTGGAATTATGAACTTATCCCAGGAAGTAGCTGTGAGCCAGGAAATGAACACGAGGCTCGAGAATAATTTATTTGGATATTTGTTGAGTGTTTTCCGAATTTATGTGTTAAACTGCTTATGTGTACCTAAGTGCAATTATATGGCGAATGTGATTATTATGAAATATTGTTAAGTGATTCATTGTGAAGTGTTTTCAATTGTCCCTCGCCTTCTAAGTCGGGAGTGTACTTTATCGCACTCGGCTTAGTTGAGCTTGAAGGTTGATAATTGATCAAGTGATATTGTAAGTGTGCATGACTGTAAGCCATGTGTGTACTTTATCACACTGGCTGAACTGGGCCCCAAAATCCTCTGTTCAACGGACTATTCGAGCCAGTAAAGGGCTTGGTCGGGTAGGACGGTAGCTTTGGGTAAGTGTTTCGGTATACTCGAGTATTACCACGGAGTAGCAGATTACTGATATTGATATGGCCATCCAAGTGAGGGAAGTGTTTATTGTTTTGGAGGTTATAAGGAGGAGTTCGGCGGAGTGTGTAGTGCATTGAAGTGGCTCTAATGCGAGCACCGTATCCTTTTAAAAAGTGATCGTTCAGTGAAATGATTCCTCAATTGCTTAATGAAAGTGATTGTACAGTGAAATGTGCACTACTTGCTTAATTGTATTGATTTAAGTGCTTATTGATTGTTGCTTGCATGGAAACCTCACGGGCGTAAGCTCACCCTTTTAGCTTTGTTTTCCTTACAGGAGTCAAAGATTGAAGAGTGATTGGATTGAACTAGAAAGTTATTTTGGGAAGATCCATTATTTTGTGTATATAGTGTCGGCATGGTCTTTTGAATTCTGAGACGGTTAAATTTTTGTTTGAGTTGGTGTGATATTAAGAATGGATATTTAGAACAGGTATTTTATTTGTTTTATTGGACAAATTTATGTTTCAAACTGATTGGAGATGTACTTAAGAGTGAATGTTCAGTTGTCCAATGGTAATGTTATCTCTGAAGTTAATGTGAGTGAGTGAGTCCTGGCAAGAGTCAGGCAGGCGATCCGCTAACTTCTAGGGTACGCCCTAGGGGAAGGTGGGGTCGTCACAGATAAAATATTCAAGATAAATACTAGGGAGGTCTTTGGTCAAAGGTGGTGTTGATTGCCAACACTTGGCATCCACCAATTTTTCTTTCTTTTCCTTTTCCTTAGTCAATAATGGTGGCTGACTTAAGGGTTAATTTAGGGGAAATTAAATGAAATAAAAAATAAGGAGATTCGGGTAAGAAAGTATTGGTGAAGCGGTGTACTCAACCGGTAACAAACGACGCACGTCGGTTCAAGCCTATTTTCCTAAACTCCCTTGTCCTTTTGTTTTAACTTATGATTCACTAATTTATTATTAGCACTTCTAATCACACACTTCCTCTTACTTAATACTCACTCTTATCCACCAAATTTTGTGCACACACCTCACCAATCGATCACACTACCGAAATGCACCAAAAGCCTAACTTACTCTAACTTTAAAAGTAAAAGTAAAACTCTTGACTCAACTAATGAAATCACCATGAAATTTAGGGCTAGTAAATAGTTAAATAGTCAAGTAAAGAAATATAAAGGGAAATATAAATTAATGTTTCAAAAATGGTAGGAAATTTTAAAGGAATTTTCTGGTCCTCACAATAGGCCACTGCAAGAAAAGCAAAGAGTTCAGAGAAAGTTTGGGGATCATTGTGGTTATGCTAGCAGCTTCACTAATAGGTTCTCCTCCAAACTTCCATGGAAAAAAATGCTCTCGTTTCGATATTGTACTGATGGTCAACAGGCCCTAAACATTGTTGAAAGCTACTTCTTGAATGCAATGGGTGAAGATTTTGGAGAATCTGGGTATGAAATTGCATACATGCCACTAGCTATTTTTCTTCTCAGTACGCTAGATGCTTTTTTTTTTTTTTTGCTTTCCTACTTTTGATAATGCATTGCTTTTTCTTGTGTTTGTCTTTAGGAAGATGTTCCAGAAGTATAATGAAGCCATGAGCAATCTATCTCTTGAAATTATGGAGCTTTTGATAGCTAATAACATATACATATATATATATATATATATATATATATGTTCTTTAAACTTAAAATATTTTCTCAATAAATGCATATTAGAATTTTTTAAAATTGCATGTTAGAAAATAGAAGTTAAATTTGGAATTATGACTTTTATTTTAAGGTTGATTTGTTGCTCAATGCCAATATTAAAGTCATTTTTTTTCCAATCCAACTTTTTTTATCAAAATATAGTAATCACTATGGCTGCATAAAGTGGCATTAATGAATTTAAAATTAAATTTTTTCATAACAAAGGAACCACACCAAAAAAGCCATTATTTGACTCATTATTATACATATATACATCCTTTAATTAAAAATCCATTATTTGACCCTTTTTTAACACAAGCACATCGCTTAACTAAATATATTATATAAATTAGTTGTACATTTTCACCAATAACAGCAAATTTCTATCTATAATACAACTACTGTAATGCAACTTCAATCATAAATACATTATATAAATTATATTATGCAATTTGACTAATAACCGCAAATTGCTATTGTAACCAGAAATTGGTATTGATATAGGCAACCCTAGGGGAAGACCCTCCTAGAACCTCCCAACCTTGTAATTATCAGAGTTGGATCTTTTCTCCCAACAGAAATTGAACTCGATTGTTCTCATGAACTCAAGACCTCTGACACACAAAGGTAATCAGTAACCTTAAGCAAATAAGGATGGATGAAGCGACACCACGATTAGGGAACAAGCTAATCGATAAAGTCTGATTTGAATCCTAAGCCAAGAACTCAAGAATTCAAGAGTAAGTTCGATTAAGAACTTGAAGGAAAATTCCTCACGATTTCTGGTTGTAATAATCTCTCCTTTACTCTTACAAGAGGTGCCTTTTTATAGGCTAAAACTAGGGCAAAATCTGGCCCACATAAACCTGGAAGAGATTCGGTCCGCATAAAAGAGCTTAAAGAGCTAGCTCTTTAAGGCTTTCCGATAAGGCCCGATAAGTAATAAAATACTCAACGCCTAACAACTACTAAACTTGACAGTCTTAAAACAACTACCAACTAAGCTAATAAGTATGAGATCACTCCTTTACTTCAAATGTACAAGTGAACAAAGTAACTTCATGGTCCATCAAATCTTCAAACCTAGCTTGTTCCTTGCTTGTATGGTGAATGATCAAGGCTCGTAAAGCTTCTTTCACCTTCTTGGTTCTTGACCTTGTCATCGGACCGCCAATATGGACCAAAGGATCCTTGCCCCAAGGTTGAAGTTATTGCACACCCGTATCCGCATCATTCCCTCTTTCCTCGAAAAGATTCGTCCTCGAATCTTCAAAGTCTTCTCTTGAAAGTGAGTTGTCCACAAATCGATGGTGCGCTTAAAGGACAGCAGTGTTGGAAGTAGACGAATGACTACGAGCCATGTTGCATGTCGTTTGGTCAGCTTCGGGAAGCTCTCAAACAAGAACATGCGCCAAGGTAGGAAAGAGCTTGTGTAAGGCATGTGAAAATCCCAAGTGGCAATGAAAAACTCTCTAATTAGTCTTTGGTCATGAATCTTCACATTGACACCTTGATTGTGCAAAGGTGTAAAATCCAGCACTAGTTGACATTGATTTGAATCATCTTGCATGGATAAATTGGGAGCAATTTGTTGCATGGATGAGGCACTAAACAACTCGTGGAGGATAGCTTTGGGATCTTGCGTGATACACAATTTCTCATCTTCCAACATATAAGGTAGCAAACAGTTGAATTCCACTTCATGAGAGTTACTCGAACTAGCGCAAGTTGAAGTTGACAAATTGAGCACTTGGCCACCAGCTTTTGGCTGTGTGAATAAGAATGAAAGATCACCACCTTTAGTTGGAATAAGCACGAAATCAGGTTGTAAGTCTTTAATCAAAACTGGAAAATTTTGGACAGCTTTACAACCTACAAAAACAAAATAACCTTCAACTTGAAACAAATTAGAAATTGGGTAAAGAAGTAATGGTACATCATCAACTAAATGGTAAGAAGGTATAGAACAAGTTTTAAGTATAAATACTCCCTTTGCCACTTCATTATTCCTTCCACCAATTGATTCAACTTGAGAAGGCATTGCTAGCCTTTTACACTTTCCTTCAAAATCTGCATAAGAAATACAAGTGTTAGGATGTAAATTATACTCAAAAGAAGGTAAAGATGAAGAATGAACCATAGGTAGTAAATGAGAGTCAAAGTTTGGAATTCTCCCTTCATGGTTGGTTTGAATTGATTACCCTTTGGTATGGACAGATTTGAATTGAAATTGTTCCATGAGGTGATCCCAAATAGATTTAATTCCTAAAAGACAAACTCCATGGAAACTAGTGAATTGTACAAGTGACTTTGGAATGGAGCATGACATGACTAACTTCACTTGACTTTGCTTAATCTGCACAAATGAAGAAACACTAAATAAAGCAAAGGTAAGTTCGTTAGAAAAACAATAAGCCCTCATATTTTTGCTCAAAATCGGCTCACTTTCTCTTTTTTCTTCCTTTTTACCACTCATCTCATCAAATTTTTCCATCTCTTTATCTAGCTTAACGCCCTCGATTGTTTTCTCATTATCAACCTCCTCAACAAATGGTTCAATAGGATGAGATACTCCTTTGTTGGGAATAGGGTCAGATACCTCCTTCTTAGAAAACTCACTTTGATAGCATCCATTTGACTCCATTTGTTTTTGGTGTAGAAGACGTTGATATGTCTCCCAAAATGACTCTGCATGAGGTGGTTCAACTCTAGGTTTAGTCCTAGAAAATGTTGAATGAACCTTCTTATCACCTCTTGTATAAACCGACTTTAAAGAGGTAGATTGCATGGAACCCCTCCTCGTGAGAGATTCGTTCTCTTGCTTGAGTTTATGTTCGTTCTCTAGATTGTACAAGTCCGTGGTATAATGGAAGGGTACAAATCGTTTCTTCATCACTTGCTTCATTTCAATCCAAGTGTCAATCGGTTGTTCCCTATTTCTCCTCCTTGTGGCACATACTTGCTCCCACCAAATAGATGCATAATCTTGAAATTCAATAGCTGCAAGTTTCACCTTTTTCTCTTCAGAGTAGTTGTGGACTTCAAACACTTGCTCAACTCGCCTAACCCAATCCAAGTAAGTTTCAGGGTCATTTTTCCCATGAAAGGTAGGCATCTTGGTCTTGATAGAACCAATATTGTCATCGCTTCTCCTAGGTCGGTCTCGACCTTCCCTCGCTCCCCTTTGGTTTTTCCTTGATCGAAAGGAGGTGTTAGAATGATATCCCTTATCATCCGCATCATGATTAGCACTCTGAACACTCGAAACCCTATTGTGTGTATCTCCGGTACCTCGCATCTCAATGGCAGCCAATCTGTCTAATAATTGTGTCATTACAACTTCATGTCTCTCCGCTTGTTTTCGAAGAGCTTGGAGCACCAGTTTGAGTGACACGTCGGTTTCAAACGGCTCAGGCATGTTCCTTTCTTGAGACATATTGTCCAACCTGCAAAACAAGTGTATCCTAGTCTACCTTGCAAGCACTCGTGTATCACTCAAGGAAAACACACTCATTCTCAATTTTCCTTCTCAAAGTTCTTAAAACAACTCAAACTCTCAAAAATTCCAGAATTAATTACCCTATAAGCAAGTAATAAGACACAAAGCAGAATTTTGTAAATCCTAGAAAAACTCTACCCGAAGCTGGAACTGTTTTTTTTTTTTTTTGAGCTGCTGTTTTGCTGAGTTTTTGGTCAGTATTTTGGAGGGTAAGTGGTGCTTTTGGGATGTTCAAATAATGCAAGAACCAGTCCTCAAATTTCAGGGAAATCGGCTCGCAAAGACTAGCTCAACCGATTTTAGAAACCCAAGAATTTAAAGACGGTGTGGCTAAGGTGTTTGTGACGGTTTAGGTTTGGTTTTGGAAACTGATTTTGGGGTGCTTGGGGTCTGGTTAGGTAGTTTGGGGTCGTTGAAATTCAATTAAGATTGGAAACTCAAGAATTGGAAACCAATCAAGATTTGGAGACTCAAGTTTTTTTTTTTTTGGGAAACCAATCAAGATTTGGAGACTAATCAAGAATTGGAGACCAATCAAGAATTGGAAACTCAAGATTTGGGAAACTTGATTTCCTTTGTGTGAGAGCCGATTCTTTCTTTTCTTCCTTCTTTTTTTTGTTCTCTTTTTTTTTTTTTTTTTTTTTTTTTTTTTTGCTTCGGCTCTTCAAGGAACACAAATTCAGGTCACACCAACAAGTTCAAAAAAAACGAATGAAAGGTTATGCAAATTTCAAGAAAGCCCTAGTTCTTGATTTATTGTTCAAGAACTTTCAAAACAAGACTTGGTGGTTCAAGAATTTCAAGAATTTTGTTCAAGGAGCTCAAGAACTTCCCCAAATTATGTTTTTTTTTTTTTTTTTTTTTTTTAAGGGACAAACGCCCCAAATTTTATTGAAAGCAAAAGGAAAGAAAAGGGGAGCCACCGCTCCCAAATACAACCTTTAAGCCTTACCCGACCCTACCGTTCTACATTACAGACTGCCCCTACGCTACCTTTCTTCATAGCACCAACGCAACCCCGGCACTCCACGTGAATCAAGCGCCATAGCAGCCCTAACCATTGCCGGAAGCTGGATCTCCTGCTCATACACCTGACCGCTAGTTGGCCCCCCCACAGCTAATCTATCTGCAGGTAAATTGGCCTCTCGAAAAACATGTGAGATGGAAGCGGAAAAACCCTCCAGGAGGCCCCTCACTTTCCGCAAATCGTTACACAAAGGCCACCTTGCACTCGCCCCAGAACCCACCAACTGCACCAAAGCCTTGGAGTCCACCTCCACCAACGAAGGCCGCAACCCCCTTTGTAAACACAACTGAAGGCCACACAATAATGCCATACATTCTGCCCCTAAAACATCCTGTTCCCCGAGTTCCTTGTAGTACGCAAAGACCAATTTCCCGTGACAATCACGCAGTAGACCCCCACCCTTGGCCTGACCATGGATTACACTGGCGTCCGAGTTCAATTTTAGCACCCCAAAAGGCGGTTTATCCCAGGCAACCGCACAGGGAACCCGTCTCCTAGGAGGGGATTTAATACGTTGGAGCAAATCACAATCCCCATCCCCCGTGAAATGCGACCGTTGAAGCTTATTTGCCCTTCCAAGCTGCTCCCAAAACCCATCCACATCGCGGATTATCCTGTCCACCTCCCAACGCACTCCCTGAAATCGCTCCTGATTCCTGGCAGCCCATAGAAACCAACAAACCACAATTGGCATCATCACCCGAATGTGGTTTTTTGACACTGAAGGAGACGAGAAATACCAAGATATGAACACCGACGCCATGCTCGAGCAATTCACCAACTTAAACCCAAACCGGCTAGAGATTTTCCTCCAAACTTGCGAAGCTACTGGGCCAGTGCAAAAAACATGCAAGCTCATCTCCTCCTCCCGGTAACAACACCCACATCTAGATGGAATCGGCAAACCTCGAGACCGTAACACAACATCCAACGGCAGGAAATTCCGCACTAATCTCCAAGCCAAAAAAGACATCTTTG